GCTGAAGTCTTGCTTGTAATAACATTGAAATGTGTTTTGTAAACATAATAATGCAAAAAACTGACCACTAATAATTGTTTTGTCCTTTAAGCGTGTGTGTATGTGCGTGTGTGTATGTGCATGTGTGTGTGCACGCCTCTGTAATTTAGATAGTTTTAGCTCTGTATGTGTGATAAATAATACAGTAATACAATAATCATTGTCATGTATATGCATGTATTACTTATAACAGTGAACATCTATTCATACCATAAAATTGGAATATTCAAGAAAATTATGTTAATTAAGCACTGAAATTGACCAATAGTAATGGCAGAAACACAGCCGGTAACAAGTCATTTGCCAAGTCCAGGCCAAGTCTGCTGGCCCAATTTTGGGCCGATGTTCAAAAAGACACTGGCCCTAGCCTGGCTGCCGACTTTGGCCCAGCCTCAGGGAGACTCGGTGAACGGATTAGGCCCAGCTACACGCCAGCACACATTGGCTGACTTTCCCGTTCCACCTTAAACAGTCCTGCAGTTCTGACACCTGAAGCGCCAGAATGTGACTGCTGCACCATTTAAGGTGGAACGGGAAAATTTAAACAAGAAGCTGGTGAATAGCTGACTTCAGCTTCGTATCACTGAAGAATTAGGGGTGGGCAATAATAAATAATTGCCCCCCTTTTTGAAAGCATATGATTCCCTACATGTAACTAAAGCCAGCAGTGAGGTTGCTGAACTTTGCCCTCCTCTGCTGTCACTGTAGACTGGCAGGGTTGCCTACAGAGCAGCACTAGTAGCTGTTAATCAAGCAATGTTCTTTTTTTTTATTTTTAATTTGAGAGTCGTCCCATTTCGTAGGGCAAGATTTCAACCACTACCCCTTGTAACTTAGTTCTATGGGGTTAAGGTAACACTCGGAAACAAGGGGTAGGGGTAAAAAGAAGAAATGGGTTTGGCCTAAGTGACGAAGAATTTCAGGTGTAATTTTGTCCCATTCTTCCTACAAGCAGTTTTTAAGGTGTGCAACAGTACAGGGTACCGAGCAACTTAAAAATCAATTTGAACTATACTAAAAAATAACAGTGAGCTCAGAAGCATTAAATGTTTAGCATTAGTAACATTAAATCGTCTTCCTTGGACAGTTAAAAAGTACAAATGAAATAATAAAAAACTGACTTCTTTTAAGAAGTGTTATTGTTCATCATGTTTCACAGCACGTCTCACTGAATGGCACAATGCGACTGATTTTTTAGTTCGTCCAGTTCCTCTTGTAGTTTCTTCATTTCCTCAGTATTTTCAGCCTTGGTGCTTTTAAACAGATTCTCCAGAAGTCCATACTGTTTCTGATACTCTTTAATCAGCTTCTTGAAGTGTTTTTCTTTTTCATCATTGAACTCATTGAACTGCTCAGCCTGCTTTCTGGCTTCATCTTCATATTTATTTTTCATCTCTTCTATTTTCTGATCATAGTTCTTTTTCATTTCCTCACGTTCCTTCTCCTCTCTCTCTCTCTTCTTGCTGTGTCTTCTCTCTCTCTCCTCCTAATCTCCTCTCGCTGTTCTCTCTCTATCTCCTCTCTAAGTTTCTGCAGTCTTTGCGTCTCTTCTTCTCTTCTTTCATCATCCTCACGTCTTCTTCTCTCCCACTCTTCCTTTCTCATTTTCTCCAGCTGCTCATACTGCTCTTTCATTTGTGCTTCCATTGCACGTTTCTTTTCCTCATTCTCTCTCTCTTTTCGCTCACTCTCGTCCCTCCAATGTTGTTTCTCCTCCTCTCTCTGACGTCTTTCTTCTTCCATCTCCCTTTCAAATTCCTCTCTCAATCTGTCTTGTTCTTCTTCTTTTGCTCTTAGCTCTTCTGCGTGTCTCTGTTTTCTTAGTCGGTCCTCTTCCTCCCGTCTTTTCATCTCTCTTTTCTTTTCTTCTTCCCATTCCCTCTGTTTACGCTTTAGGTCCTCTTGTATCTCTTTTTTCTCGTGTTCAGCCTCTTTTATTTTCCTCTCCCAGTTGTGCCTCTCATTCTCTTCTTCTTGCCTCCTTTTGTCCTCTTCCAGATCTTTCCTTTTACGCTCTTCCTCCTGTCTCATTCTCAGCTCCTCCATGGCACGCTTCTGTTGATTCATGAGAATTTCTTTTTCTTGTTTGTATCTCTCTTCTCTCTTTTTATCCTCCTCCTTTCTGTCTCTTTACTGTTTTTCAAATTCCGCTCTCTGCTTTTGGTTCTCTTTTTCTAACTCATTAATTCTGTTTTGCCATTTCCTTGTTTGTATCTTTTCTTCTTCTAACCTCGTCTTGTCCTCCATCTCCCGTTTCTTTTTCTCTTGTTCATTTTTTTCTTCAAACTCTTGTTTGAGGGTTTCCATCTTTTCTCTGAACTTCCTCTCCATTTGGAGCTTTTCTTCATCAGCCTTTTGTTTTTCTTCCACTTGTCTTTTCTTCATCTCTTCCATTTCTTTGCTGTATTTGTTTTTCAGTTTCTCCTTTTCAGCTTCAATCTCTCGCTCTTTCTCTTTCAGAATTTCTTCAATTCTCTTTTTGATGGACATTTCCGCCTCTTCGAACATGCTGTTTGTGAAGTGCTGACTTGACGTGTTTGAGTTTATCACCATTTCTATCCGTTTTAAAAGTTCAGAAACTTGGGTGCGGTCTTCTTTTTCGTTGTTATTAAATACTATATATCTGTTTCCACAGTCTCTGAGCAGCTTGTTGATTTGTTCCATGTTACTTTCCTCAATGAATTGTTCTATTGACTTATTTCCCAGCTTATCTCCTCCAGTGAACAGCACTATAGTGAACATAGCAGCCTTTGGACCAAATGTCTTTTTTATCAGATCTAAAGTCTCTAATTCTTCTTTGGTGAATCTTCCCAAACTCAGCACAATGAGGAAAGCGTGGGGTCCGGGTGCTAACAGTGAGAAGCACTTCACAATTTCTTGCTGTATGTCTTCATTTGATAGTTCAGTGTCAAAGAGGTCTGGAGTGTCAACAACAGTAACTGACTTTCCCTCAACCTCACTAACTCCTTTCTGGCAAACCTTTGTCACAGAAACAAAACTGAATTCACTTTTAAATACATCTCTTCCCAGGATGGTGTTTCCTGTCGCACTCTTTCCACTTCCTGTTTTTCCAATCAGTACTATCCTTAAGCAGCTTGAAGCCTGTGGTTCATCTTTATCTTCACCTGAAAGTGACATTAGTACAAGTTACACATTATTTTGGTAAGATCAACTCAATAATCACAATTTTGTCATATAAAATTAAGATTTTTACATTTTTGTTCGATATTTGCTGATACCTCTCAGTCTCTCATACACATGTCTCCAGTGTAATTGATTTTGCCTGGTCCTGACTGTATTCGAGACTCAGTGTTGTAATTTAATGTGAGACGTGTGTCTAAATGTAGTTTTAAACCACTGAAAGGCCAACAGTCCAAACAGATTCGTCTGCAGTCCAATCTCAGAATCCTAACATTTCTCCCCCTCTCAAAGAAAAACAACCAAACAACAAAAACATACCACCACGTTTCTCTTTATTTTTTAGTTCTTCTTTTTTATACACAATGACACTCACTGCGCACTTTACACTGTAATATTGCTGCAACTCCTAGTTATGTCTATACTCACTGTGCTTTTAGTTTACTCATACCACTCAGTGCCTGCTGTCAATAAATAAATACAACAAATCTGTATTATATGCTATGTAAATATGCAAATAGATATACTTTTATTCCTATACTCTCATACTTCAACTTATGTCTATTTTTTGTCTATTTTTTCTATTTCTGCCTAATTTATGTATATTTTTATTTCTATTTTTTATTTTCTGCATAGTATATGTAAGCAATTATATATTTTATGCTACTGAAACACTGCAATCTATCCATCTATCTATCTGTCTACTTTTATCACACTACTATACAGTACTAACAACTCTCAAATTATCCTTTCTTTTCTGCTTATATACAATACAGATTACTTCTACAATAAAATCTTTAGTGCCAAATGACAAAGTAAAATTTTCATAACATTACCAAAGTAACAAAACCTTCATATTTCCCAACTCAGACCTCACCATCCTTCAGCCTGGACAGAGTGTCGAAAAAACATTACCTCTTCCAGCAACATGATTCAACACCAAGCTGTAGCGCTGTAGCACCACGCCCACAAAAACACACACTGGTTTGCAGTTCTGAACTGTGCAGGAAAGATAGAGGGACTGTAATCACTAACGATTACTACATTCCCTACTGAACTGGACATTCACACTTTGAAATGTTGTATAGCCAACACCAAAGCCAGCACAGTGATGAAATAGTCTTTGATGTGGAATAGTCATTGATGTTTCTTTAGCTTATTGGAAAAATATGCTACTGGTTTATTAATACCAGCTCCATCAGCTTGTAGTAGGACAGCACTCCCGCCTACCTCACAAGCAACCACTGCCAATTTAAATGGAGAATTAAAACCTGGTGCAGCCAACCCTGGCTTACAGGTCAACACGGCCTGAATTTGCTCAAAAGCCTTTACAAATGCACTAGTCCAGGTGAACTTAACCCCTTTCTTCAGGAGGTTTGTACCAAGATGTGCTTTCTTTGGCCTTCAGAACGCCTGGGCATGGATTATACACAATGCTGGATGTGTTGTGCAGGTATGTGGCGACATGTAGAAATGACTGCATTGTGCTGATGCTGCGGACTGGATGGCTGCAGTTTTACTGTGAACAGCCTCATCCAATTTGTCCGGAAGATGCTCGATAGGACTGAGATTTGGGGACTGTAAAGTCCACTGAAGCAGTACACACTTCATCTTGATTCTGAAACCATTTGGTCATAATACATGCCTTTTGACATGGTGTACTGTCGTGCTCAAAGCTCCCATCCAAGTGTGGATAAACATGAAAGGCCATGAAAGGATTAATTTGGTCAGCAACAATGTTCAGACATTCTTCTATCAGATGTTCTTCAGTCGGTATCAGGGGTCCCCACAATCTTTAATGGAAACATAAACCCCACATTTTCTGGTAGATCTACAGGCTTGTGACTGCCCAGTCACAAGACAGAAAACTGCCAAGGGTAAACAAATGCAAAGTGCTCTTTTATGAAGTATCTTTTCATTAAGCTTTTCATAAAGCAAATAAAAAACTGATTCGATTTATCAATTTGGAAAATAAGATGCCTGTAGAACTTAGTTAAAGGCATGCCTATCTTTACTGTCCTTCAAACCAGACTTCTGTTTTTCTCCAGAGAGTCTGCTTTCTGTTTTGTGGTGTGTGGTAGTGGGTGTTTGATATAACAGTACTACGCCAAAGATACACATGAAAACAAAGAAGTGGCAGCTCAGCAGCTGGGAAATGATGGCTTCAAATAAAAATTTTTGAATTACGTGAAGTTGGGATGCTGTGATTATTGATCTACTGGTGACTAACACTCAGCTTGATACACAAAAGTTTAGTTTTTAATGTGCAGTGTAGTTTGTTTATTTAAACAGTCTCTCTGTGTCCTCAACTTATACTTAATAGACCTTTTTGACTGGAAATCAAATGCATATAAGTGTGGACTCTGATTTTTGCACAGTACTTTCCATGTATTGGTTCAAGAACAGGGCTTTAAAAGTCATATAGTTTATTACAATATATTAAATCCTTTGTTGTCTTACTTTAAGGGTTGATCTGAAAAGTCAAAGTGCTTACCTTCTGGCTGGAGCTTCCACTTTAACTCTTGGACTTCTTTCTCTAACTCCTGGATTTCTTTCTCCTTTTTGCTCAGCTCTTCTTTATACTGTTCCTGTAGTTCACATCTGACTCTGTCCTCTTGAGCTTTTACATACATGTAAAGACAATATGGCTGTGTTTCTGTCATTTCTTTAATTTCATCTAACAGTTTTTCACTCATTTGCTTGTTTTTTTTCCCTGTCTTTGTTTCTACTAATATATGTTTATGTTTACAAATGGAAAGAAAGTTCTTTATATCAGTGCTTTGTTCTATAAAATCTTTTTCAGCTGTACTATCAGCCTGCTGCACTGTAAAGAGAACTATTAAATGATCATTGACTACAAAGCTGAAAATTTTCTGGATCTTCTCCATTTCTCCTTTGTCTTCATCAGTGATGGGGCCAACTGGAATGATGAGGAGGAACGCATGGACTCCTGGATCACACAGAGAGACACAGCGGAGAGCCTCTCGCATCACTTCCTCCTCCGAGTGAGGTGTGTTGTAGAGAGCTGGCATCTCCACCAGGGTGATCGAGCGTCTAGACACCGCTCCATCTCTCCTCACGCACTCTGAGCTGGGTGCTGAACTGCGCTGGCTTGGGCCCAGAATGAGATCTGATATGGAGGCCTTCAGTGCTCCATCACTGCCACACAGCACCAGGTTCAACCTCTGAGGCACTGAAAGAGAAACAAACTGGAACCTGTCAGGTTTAGAAATTTACACTAAAGAGGTACATGAAAATAAGTCACAGCAAAACATGAATCACATTAAGATGTAAATAATGAAATGACTGAATATAAAAAAATTCAATACATGTATTAAATTTAACTCAAATAATTCATAATCTTATATATGAGTTGAGAAACATTTAATTTAGAAAATAATTGACTATGACTCACCCTCACCCTCTTGTTTTCCACCACGACAGAATGGATTCCAAGATCTTCCTGCTGTTTTTGGAATATAAAATGTCAGTGACCAAAACCACTGTTATCATGAGTGTTGCAGTCTGATTATCACAAACTGTAACACTGGTGAAATTCTAATATCTTCTTTAGCATAATTGTTTTGTATGATTTGGTAAACTTAAAAGAAACCAAGAAAATAAAAATCTTTGAATTTTAATTTCATAAAACTGTGCTTACATGTTTCCTTCTGCTGTCCGCTGTCTTTATGTGGAATATTTTTCCCCACTGTTTGTTCAGGTTTATTCTGCGCTGCTGTTTGTTCCTGCTGTTGTTCTGTTGCAAGTTGAACCATCATGAATTCCTCCCACTGAAAGTGTTCCCCTCCATTCTCTTTAATCATCTTCTCCATAAGAGCAGAATGACTGCTTTCACTTTCAAGGTCAAAATACCACTTAATCCTTTCTATAATATTCTCCTCAGAGACGCTCTCTTCACCTGGATCTACACTGCTGCCTGACTGTGGCTTTTGTGTTGTCAGTACCATGGTGTATTTAAGGGCGTCATCAGATGAAGATTTGAAGATGTGATTCAGTCGGTTTCTGTCTGCCTCAGTGAAGTTTCCTGGCTGTACCAGCATTATAACGTGAGGTCCAGGAGCACAAAGAGTCATGCACTCTTTCACTCTCTCACTCAGCTCCTCATCAGAGAGTTCAGTATCAAACAGCTGAGGTGTGTTGATGAGTGTGATGTCTCTTCCTTCCGCTTTTTCTCTGGCTTTCTCACTGTACTGCTCTGCTGAACTAAGAGGAGCTTCAGCATCAAACACGTCTCTTCTCAGGATGAAATGTTCCACTCTTCTGATCTCCTGGCTGTTCTTCCCCAGCAGCATAATCCTCACTGCATTATGAAATTGAGAAATATATGAAATAAAAGTATATCACTCTCTTGGTTATTACGAAACAGCATGGTTCAGTCTCATTATTAGTTTTCTCTAATTCCTTTTTCTATCAGTATCAACATTTGTATGCAACTGATTAATTCAATTTATGAAAAAAACTTGGTTATTCTTTCAAACATACAATTTCATACATATTTATTATTTCAAAAGGTCCATATTCTGCATTTTTCCTGCATTTCATTATTTTTCTTCCCCAATGTCTACTTATTTAATGTACCAAAAATATTCTCCCTTTATCACTTAGAATTAAACAGGCTGACATCTGTTCTCTGGTAAGTTTTGAAACTTCAACAATATTTACATATTGCTTCAAACTTCAGAAGTGAGGAAAATGTATATTCCATGATAAGTCAAGGCAAGTCAAAGTTTATTTATATAGCACTTTTTACAACAGGTGTTGTCACAAAGCCGCTTTACAGAAAAATCCGGGTCAGAGCCCCCATGAGCGTCGCCAGCGGCGACAGTGGCAAGGAAAAACTCCCTAAGAGCAGGAGGAAGAAACCTTGAGAGGAACCAAGACTCAAAAGGGGAACCCATCCTCCTCTGGTCCACACCGAATAGCAAACATTGTTAGTGTAAAGTATAATAGTACAAAACGGGGAAAACAGGTGGAGCAACGGTTAATTAGATTAGTTTCAGTTTATGCAGCAGCAGGAGGGTCAGTTCATGCAGGTGAGGAGCAGATCAGCCATCAGAGATGGAGCTCTGGTGACTCTAGCAGCTCTGTTGGCTCACATGTGGCAGCTCAGGCAGACGTCGCTCAGGGGCTCAAATAAAGGGGGAGAGAGAGAAAGAGAGAGAAATTGATGAACAGGACAGATCCGTTTATGGAGAGATATTAGTGAGTTAATAGTGCAGCAACTGATAAGGTATTGATATGATAATTAAAGTATGTTAATCTGTTTTACAACACAAACATTTACCCATCCATTCCTACCAGTTTCAACCGTTCCCTTCATTATGAATGACTGAATGAATAAATGAAGGAAGGGAGGAAGGAAGCACACCTTAAGGCTATGGAGTGTTCTCTCATTACACCATTACAAATTTTGTAAAAATCTGAGCCTGTTTCTCTTAGTCCGAATGTAAAATAGTTTGATCAGTTGTCAACCAGGACTACAACTCATCGCAGTTCTTGGTCAGGAGTGACTCTCAGCATGTTACACTTCCTTCCATGTTTTGTTAGTGTGACCCTTACCTACGCTTCAGTTTGCTGCCCCCTGTCTGTTGTACAGATAGATGAGGTAAGGAAAAAAATCTACTGTGTTCTCCAGCAGTTTCATCTCTAAGTTTCTCCGTTTGTGTGCTACTGACTTCATTCAGCTGGCTAGTTTTTTGCCATAATACTTTGAGATTATTAATTTCAGGAGTCAGACAAACACTCCTCCACTGCAGTGCAGTCTCAATTCCAGAGAATATGAATGCAGTATAACTTACTGTCAGGAGGTCTGAAGGTTAGACTTCCCCTCCTCTGAGGCCGTGATGGAGCTGTGCCACAAGCATAAGTTATACGTTATTTTCTGCTGTGCTTATGTAGCATAATACAGCATAATGGTCAGCATCTATCTGAATAAACACATTCAAACAAACTCCAAAATGCAAAACAGTAAATAATCCAACATTAAACTGTATTACTACACATCGCTGCTATCAGAACAAAACCTCGTATCTCCAAAATGGTAACTTTACAGGAGAATGAAAAAACATACTTTACTTTTATTGAAAGTCAATGGAACCAGACTTTTTCCTAGTCATTTTGGGCCGTTTCCTTTAGTCCATTCATCATGAAATTTACATACAATGTAAAAGGCAACAGGCATTTTCAAATTATGTCGAAAACTGAAAAACGTTAAAAATGGAGATACGAGGTTTTGTTCCGACAGCATCTTGAAACTGCATAAGCTATTATTTCCAGTTCCTTGTGTTCATAAAGAAATAAACATTATTAGTTAAAGACGTTTTCCCAGTTTGCAGTGAATTCCAAATTTCTGTTCTGGCCACTGTTTTATATCAAGCCACCCAAATTAATTTTCACTGCATTAGATCTGCCCATCATTTCATACTGCCTGACTCAGCCCAGCCTGACTCAGCCCAGCCTGCTCTCAGCACATACCGTCATCATGAATCAGAAATCAGGGCACCTTTTCCTTCCATACCGTGACGTATTTCTGAACTAATAAGGTAACAAGGAGAAAATGGTCAAGTTTGATTTCTGGTTTTAGGTCTATTTTGAAAAACATTTTAACACTCAGTTTTTCTTTCGGTCTCAAAACAGATTCTATCCTTTTTTCTTAAGGAACAGAACATGAGAGGGAGCGTGTTATCGCAAATAATATCACAGCTGTTATTCGGTAGCAGGAAAGAGCTGAAGGTGAGTACAGTAGATCATCCCTGCTGTGATGTTACTCCCAATAACACAGCCTCCAGTGTTCTATTCCTTAATAAAACTGTTCTGCAAAACAAAGAGAAAAGTAAAGCAAATGAGCCCCAAACATTTAATTAAATGTGCTTTAATAATAGTAACACCTGTTTGTGTTGCAGACAGGGCCATAAAACTGTGTCAATATCAGGCCCAACTCAGGTTCAGTATCTGTCAGATGAACCTGACCTGAATGTGGTTTTGGTCTAATCAGTCTGTAAAGCTTTTCACAGCCCATCCTATTTGCTGAATTGTACTCTGGTGGTTTTTGGCTGATTCCGGTTTGTTTAGTTGTTCACAGCTGCCGACCAAAAAGCTTGTTCGGGATCAACGACAGGTTCAGAATTTGACGTCCTGTCTTCTTCAGAATCTGACCAAATGGGCTGCAGGTCAAATATTATCTTATAGAAGAGAAACCTAATGGTTTTGCTTTCTAATGGGATTTGGCTTAATGGTTTCCAATAGAGACCACTAGCTTCCTGTAAAACCATTAAGAGCATATAGAATCAGTTATTGGTCACCTGTTAAACCATTAACCTCTTCAACTCCTTGGGTGGTTCCAAAACGGACTTCGTCATATTCTTCATAACTTTCATATTTCATAAGCTACATTCAGAAGGTGGGGGTCATATGAGAGCTGTAACTGTTTTCTTTCCAGTCAAATAGATGGGTGATGTAATTTTAAACCCTTATAATAAAAGAAGCTGAACTCACAATTTTTTTGTTTACTGAAAGTCGACCCATTTTTCCACAAATCTGGGCTTTAAACTACAAACAGATGGCGTCTCTTCAGTGATCTGCTCTGTAAAAATTACTTTTATAAAATAATACAAAGAGCGTCTGAGATTTTTGGCCTTCAGCAGTAAATTGTAAGCATACAGCAATATGTGTGATCATAAAACACGTTCTGTTAATTTGAGGGGAACTTTTACAAAAAATAATAATAATAAATAAAATAAAAATTGACATTTATTTCATGCAGTTACTGAATAATTTGCCTTACGATTTGGTCATGAAAATTCAGATGGACAAACCAAAGCTTAAGCTCCTTTACACTGTGATATCAACCCTTTAAAAAAGCCAAAAACTTTACAAAATCAGGAACTAACAGAAACCTTGATGGTTTCTATGTTTTTTCACATTGTAACAAGTAACCTACTAATTTTATTCAACTTAAATAAATATTTGGATTGAAACAAAGGATCATCCATAGTATTTTTAATTAATGTATGTATGATGTGAAGTATTTTTATGATTTATTTATGAAAATAATGAATTATTTTGAACACTTCTCAATCTGAGTGTGCCGTCCGACACTTGTAGAACTGTTTTAACAGAAAGCATTATTACCATCAACCTCGGATAGCAGAGCAAATTCAGATCAACTGTGATTTAGTGTGAGGTTCTAGCATTGGTGTGAGATTTCTGTAGTCTATCAAGTTTCCACATTACGCTGTGTTAGACATTCTCTTCTCCCTTGTACTTGCTCTGTATAAAATCTTATGTATGAACACATCCTCTACACAGAACACATTTCTGTAGATTTTAATGCACAATTACTGTTTATTTACAGAATTTAACATATTGGGGGAAAAATACTAAACATAAAATGTATCCTGTGCATTTTATATTGTATTTTCTCCAGCTTGTCAAACTAAACTTGGCAGAACAATCTCATATTTGTGTTCTCTGAGGAGGATGTGTTTAATTTTCTCTTAGAAAATCCAGAAAATCTGGAATTTGACCAGGGGGGTCTCCGAACCTCCTTACTGGGAGATTTGAAGGTAACAGGAGGGCTGACACTTTTACTTGGTTAACTGGGAATTCAGTTAAATAATAGTTTAGCTGTATAAACGTTGTAAATGCAGCGTGATGTGACCTACACCTGTTTTAATTCGGATTAGTACAGTAAATAAACGCTTACCGTTACTCGACGCCATTTTAGGTGAGTTGACGAACTGAAATCGGAGCCGGTTTATGAGGAGCCTGGCCAACAGCGCTGCTGAACAGCAGAGGGCGCCCGCGAGCGAGTCCTCAATGAATGGGAGTGAATGGAGCTCAACGGCTAAAAACGAACAGTTAAAATAGTTTCTAATCACTGAACCAGAACTTTCCTTTAATTTAAGAACGTAGAAGGATGGATTTCACTAAAAAACAAAGAAATCTCACCTGTTTGTTTCCCTTTTTCTACAGAAAGCGGGTTTTGGGCAGCAGGAGGCGGGCTTTACTGCTAGAGCGTGATTGATTGGTGAGCGGAGCAGATCATTGGCTGTTCACACTCACTGACGTCATGAACGTACATGAGGCGCAGTTTTAAACTCCTATAACTCGAGTTTAAAAGCTCTTAAAAATATAACAGCGGTGTTAAAATGATTTATGCTGCTTTGTGTTCAGGAAATGATTGTATTAATTTACATTAAAAATGTTTCAGCATTTATAAACTCTGATTTTGCTCAAATGCTCCATATCAACCCATTCATTTTGGACTCGCTCAGGAGCGCCCTCTAGTGTTTGAGAAACCCAGATGACATTACAGAGTGGTACCTCCTCTCTACAAGTTCTCTGGTATCTCGACCTCCTTCGCGTCCTGAATGTTTATTCCGTCTCGTATTTCCTTGCACGTCTTTTGTCATGTTTGGTTTCTCATATGTAACTTACATTACAGGAATCGGGCCACAAGACTCGGGAAACACCGCTCCGTGTAAAAGGGTCCCGTAAACTAATAGTGTAGAATTAGGAACCTTATTTGTTGATTTAGTCAGAATGAGGAAACAGGTTAGCGCTTCCCCTGTTAGAGAGAGAAACGCGTTGTCTTGCAGTGGAGGACGTGTTATTGAGAAACGTCCTGGTGTGGCATTTCAGCAGAGAACCTGTAGAGAGGAGAATTCCCACTCCGCACTGTCATCTGGGCTTCTCAAACGCCAGAGGGCGCTCCCGAGCGAGTCCAGAATGAATGGGTTGATATGGAGCATTTGAGCAAAATCAGAGTTTATAAATGCTGAAACATTTTTAATGTAAAATAATACAATCATTTCCTGAACACAGAGCAGCATAAATCATTTTAACACCGCTGTTATATTTTTAAGAGCTTTTAAACTCGAGTTATAGGAGTTTAAAACTGCGCCTCATGTACGTTCATGACGTCAGTGAGTGTGAACAGCCAATGATCTGCTCCGCTCACCAATCAATCACGCTCTAGCAGTAAAGCCCGCCTCCTGCTGCCCAAAACCCGCTTTCTGTAGAAAAAGGGAAACAAACAGGTGAGATTTCTTTGTTTTTTAGTGAAATTCATCCTTCTACTGTCTAAATTAAAGGAATGTTCTGGTTCAGTGATTAGAAACTATTTTAACTGCTCGTTTTTAGCCGTTGAGCTCCATTCACTCCCATTCATTGAGGACTCACTCGCGGGCGCCCTCTGCTGTTCAGCAGTCCTGTTTTTGATATAACGGGGGAAATAGGAAGTGGCCAGGCTCCTCATAAACTGGCTCTGCTAGTGTTCCTTAAACTGCTAATGGTAGGCTAGATAATTAGCGACTGTAGCCTAAAACGAGTTTAAACGATGTCTGTCAAATAGGCTTTACATATAAAAGTTCTGGTTTGCGTTTATGTCACAGAAGTCTGGCATCCTGTAGCTAAATGTGTCACAGAACCTGCTCCACGTTAGCCAGCTGGTGCCAGCAGCTAATGAAAGCTAGCCTCCTTGTTTGGGAGTGGACCCTTTTCACAAAGAGTGGCGATTACTTCCGGTTTACGCGTTAGCAGGTTAAACTCGCTTCCGCTCCATATAACTACTGCAGAAGGGATGACAAAATGTTACAGTAGTGAACCATAACGCTCAAACACTGAGCTACAACAGATATATTATAGTTTTCCTGCACTGTTATGACAAACAGTGAGAATAAGGAGGGGATGGAAGCACTGATTTAACTGTAAACAGAGCTAAAATGCTGTATGTGTGATGTAGCCCTGCTTACTGCTGCTGCTTCACATCAAGCAGTCTCTGTGTCTTTGTACAACATGCCAGCGATTTCTCTTATATTCCTGTTTTCAAAAGAAAGAAGAGCTTTTATATGTGGCATGAATTCGATGGACATTTATATTAAGCTAGCTAAGAGTAGCTATTATCCCAAACTAGATGACCCGGCTAACATAAAGCAGCTTTCTGCATCACCAGTTAATTTTGCACTCATCTTTAAAAAGCTAATGCAGGCAATAAACCGTCAACGAAATAATTCTTACATGATCAGCTTGGTACGAACAGCTAACGTTAGCTGGCAGATTGTCAAAAACCTCACGTGGCTCTTCCCAGATCACATACTAGCTAACCTAGCTATGTCAGGAAATGGACATCAAAACGTCACAGCATAACCGCGATGCTAAGATACAAGTTACCTAGGAGTCGTGTTTTTGACTGAGCAGTGAAAGGTGGATGTTTTCCGAAGTACTTCTTCAAAAATTGCCATGAAACTAAAATAAAGATGCTGTTTGGCAGATCGCTAACATAGCTAGCTAGCCAGCCAGCTTTAAAGTCTGCTACTCATATGAAGCTGGTGCTCCTAAAACTGCTAATGGTAGGCTAGCTAATTAGCGCCTGTAGCTTGCTAGCCTACCATAAGCTAAAAGAGAGTTTAAACGAGGTCTGTCAAACAGACTTTACATATAAAAGTTTTGGTTTGCGTTTATAACATTAGAGAAATCACTGATATGCTGTAAATGTGTCACAGAACCTGCTCCACATTAGCCGGCTGCAGCTAATAAAAACTAGCTTCCTTGTTTGGGAATACAGTTCGCAATGGCCTCTAGCGTAGCTAGCTGGGTACAGCTAAACAACATCGTTCAAATTCGTACTACATATGAAAGTGCTTTCATTTCAAAACATTAGTATTACAGAAATCGCTGACATGTTTTACAAAGACAGGGAGACAGCTCGATGTAAGGCAGCAGCAGTAAGCAGGGCTACATCACACACACAGATACAAATTTTAGCTCTGTTTACAGTGCATTCAGAGCTTCCATCCACTTTCTATTCTCACTGTTTGACGTGACAGTGCACTAAAACTAACATATGTCTGTTGTAGCTCAGTATTTGAGCATTATGGTTCACTACTACAACATTTTGTCATCCCTTCTGTAGTAGTTATATGGAGCGGAAGTTAGTTTTACCCTGCTAACGCGTAAACCGAAAGTAATCGCCACTCTTTGTGAAAAGGGCCCATAAAAGGTTTACGCCCCTTTAAAATCATGGGAACGTTCTAGAACAAAGCTCTTTCCCTCTCTTCGCCAGTTAATGCTAGCAGTTAATGTTTTCATTAGCCTTGTACGTCGTAGCTAAATTTGCCCCGTTATGAAAACGAATATAAAGGTAAGTATAAGTCCTCGATGTTCGAATCATACTAAAACCAGTTATATTTGGAGTGAGTGTAACGTTAATGAGTTAGAGATGGATTATTAGGTTATTTATGTAGTTGGCTCAGTGTTTAGTAGCGTTGCTATGTGCTAGCTAGCCTAGTCTTGTTCACTGTGAACAGGTTAGCTAGTCATAGGCACTTTATAAGCACTTCAGATTAGACTACAGTACTAATCATGATGTGTAAAAACAAGCTATTTACATTCACTAACACTACTACATACATAGATATGCAGCTCAAGAGGCTGTACAAAATGTGTGCAAATAGAACAGTATAAATAAAACAATAATGAAAATACAAAATATTTCAGTGTCTAAGTTTAGTTTTTAGGGTTTTTTTCTGTGTGTGTGTGTGGGTGTGTGTATGTGTGTTGTTGGCTTGGAAAATAGTCTGAACCAGTGGGGACAAGGAATACTAACCTCAGAATCTGATCTATATAGGCCAATTTCCTCTAAATGTTATTCAGCCCCCCTTCCTGAGTAATCTTGGTTGCTTGTTAACTCTGGCTAGCTGACTTTAGTTAACCTTGGGTTTAAGTGAGGTAAAGAAAAGAGGCTAGGCTAACACTAACATTAGCTAACTAGCTGACAAGCCAGATACTGTAACCCACAGAACAGGAGAGTCAAACTCAACCACTAAGGGCCATATTAAAGTATCTCAACATATCCAACCAAACTGACCACTGTTTGTTCAAAGTACACAACAACAACAACAACAGTAAAATATAGGCACTTGTAGTAGACCATGAAATATTACATGAATACTTGAAATATTCATAATTTAAAAGTCCCCATGAGCTCAGTCTTTTAAACCTACCTATCTGCTTGAACGAGACACTTGACATCCTTTCTTTGCTGCAAGTTCATTAAGACTTGGGCTTAATGTCTGAGCTGCTGAGCTAACATTAAGTGTTTACGCTGGCTAAACTGCAGTTAGTTGTTAGGTGATACGACTGGTGTGGAACCGTGTAGAATTGAGTTGTAACCGCTGTCCCATAGACTGTTGTTGGAGTAGGAGAGTCAAAGCACATGTTACGCTGCATTGCACTGTGAAACGAGCTAATCTTAATAGAAAATTAAAACACTTTTGCGGGTTGGATAGGATTATGGGCCTTGTGTTGGACACACATAGAGTCCATAGAGTCTCTGGTTAAAATTTACTTCATAGTGAGTGTCAGATTGTTGACAGCTCCTTATATTCTTTGTTTTTAGATTTCTCTTCAGTATTTGGAAGGAATGACACCAGTATTTGCCACATATTGTTGTTTACAGTAAGTTATTGTCAGTGAAAAGGACGAGGCTGAAGTTGCTTCCTATTCACCAGATTCCTGTTCAGATTTTCCTGCCGCAAAGCACCAGAATGAAACTGCTGCAGGATTTAGGGTGGAACGGTAAAAATTCAAACACAAAGCCACTTCAGCTTTGTGTGAAAAGGTCTTCATAACACAGTTTCATATCCCTCAATTCCTCAACCTGTAGATATACTTTAAGAGGCAGCAGCTCCTTTGAGGCCAGTCAGATGAGAAGATTTTCATCAGGTAAAACAAAACAAAAATTTAATTGATTGATCATTATTTCCTTAAGTTC